TTGTTTTCATTGGTTTTATCACATTGTTCCTGACTTTGAATTTTGGGAATAACAGTAGGATGAGGTGAAGTCAAAATCACATTTGGTAAAAGAGTAGGAGATAAATCCCAAAAAATTTCTTCCATCACCTTATTCTCCCCCCGAAGAGAATTTTGTGAAAGTATGATTTATTTTCAAAGAAAGAGACATCTATACTCACATAAAATTTTCTTGTTTGGGGATTATAGCACTTATATCCCTTTTGATTTGAAGCATACCCTATGAAAACACATTTTTCAGCTCGAGGATCAAGTTTGGACCGGGTATTATTGGGTATATGAACAAAAGCTGTGCAGCCAAAAATCTTTCGAGGTAAATCCGAGTATATCCTTGATAATGGAAATTTTTTTTTTGAAACATTCTAATGGCGTGGTATATTTTAAAACACATGTAAGCATTCTATTAATCAAATACGAAGCTGTCAAAATAGCTTCCTCCCAAAGATATTTTGGAACATTCATTGAAAACATTATAGCATGAGCCACTTCAAGTAAATGTTTATTTTTTCTTTCAGCAATTCTGTTTTGTTGAGAGGTATCCACACAAGTAGACTGATGATGGATACCCTTTTCTTTCAAAAAACTCCCCAAAATTTCATTAAAATACTCGGTTCCATTATCGGTGTGAAAAATGCTAATTTTTGCTTGAAACTGAGTTTCAACCATTGTGTAAAAATTCTTAAAATTTTTTTCAACCTCAGATTTTTCATTCATCAAATAAACAACATAAACGGGTATGATCATCTGTAAAAGTAACAAACCATTTTTTCCTAGAGATAGTAGTGACTCTTGAAGGTCCCCAAACATCACTATGTATTAAATAAAATGGTTTTGAAGAAGTATAAGGTTTTGGCAAATAAGTAGTACGATGACTCTTAGATAAGCAACAACTTTCGCAATAGAATGATGAACAATCCAAACCTTTAAATAAAGTAGGAAACAAAAGTTTAAGATATGGAAAGCTAGGATGTCCTAGTTTTAAATGCCAAAACATTATTTGTTCATAAACAGAGTTAGAACTAACACTACTAAGGCCCTGAGCCTTTTTATTACTGGAGAAGTCCCCATCAAAGTAGTAAAGTCCATCTATTATCTTAGCACTGCCAATCTTCTTCACCGAGCAACGATCCTGAAATTCACAGTAAGAATCACAGAAAATTACACGACAATTAGATTCTTTGGTTAGTTTACTCACAGACAAAAGGTTACAGACTAGTTTAGGGATATGGAGAACAGATTTAAGATTTATATTCTCGGATAATTTTATCAAACCTTTTCCTGCAATAGGTGAAAAAATTAGAATTGCAAAAATTACCATTTGCAATTCTAATTTTTTCAAGGCCAGAACATGGTGAGTAAGTGCTAAAAAGATTGGAAAGGCTAGTCATATGATCAGAGGCTCCAGAATCGATGATCCATGGAGTAGAATTTAAACAAGAAGAAAGGGCATTAAGTGCACTACCTGTTTGTGCAAGAAAAACACTAGGAACATGAGGAATTAAATTTCAGCTGCTTCAGAAGGTCATCCATCTGCTCCTTGCTTAAGGGACTTGTCTCAGCTTCATTGGCAGTAGGAACCGCACGCCTATTTCTGTCAGCAGGCTTGCTACTCTTCCAATTCGCTGGTTTTTCGTGAATTTTCCAACAGTTCTCCCGAATATGGCGAGGTTTGTTGCAGAAGTCGCACCAGACCTGTGGCTTCTCTTCAGGTTTTCGCTGAAAATTGACTGCTTTATTAGCAGCAGTCTTGGCAACAATAAAGGCAGAACTCTCAACAGGTTCGCTGATAGTCTTCTTCCTTAACATTATATGTCTGCGGCTCTCTTCTCTTCGAACCTCAGCAAACACCTCATTAATTGGAGGAAGTGGAGTCCTGCTAATGATCCGTCCCAGTACTTCATCAAATTCCACGTTGAGCCCAGCAAGGAATTTGTAAATGCGATGAGCCTCCACGGTCCGTTTGTAGTGATTGGCATCTTCAGTGGATTTCCATTCATAATCATTGAACAAATCCATGTCCTGCCAAAGGCGCTTCAATGAATTGAAATACTTGGTGACCGAGTCTTCTCCCTACTGAATCTCATTAAGTTTTAGAGTCAATTCGTAGATCTGAGACTGATTTCCCAAATCAGAGTACATTTGATTCACGTTGTCCTAAAGCTCCTTGGCCATGGAGTAGCACATATAGTTGGAGCTAATATCCTCGTCCATGGAGTTCACAAGCCAAGTCATCACCATTGATTTTTTTACATCCCAAGTCACGTACGTTGGGTCCTCCGATGCTGATGCCTTCTTGTCTCCCATCAGGTACCCGATCTTTCCCCGCCCTCTGATGTACATTCGAACGGACTGGGACCACCGTAAATAATTGTCACCATTAAGGCGGATATTGGTGATCTGAACCGAGTGAGAATCGGTATTGGGGGCTTGGGTTGCAAGATTGGTTGGCTGGGTTGTGACAGACGAGGTTGACATGGAGGAAACGTCAGATCAGCAAAGAAATTGTGCAGAAAAGAAAATTAGGTTTTTTTTTTTTTTTTTTCTTAGGGTGGCTCTGATACCATATAAACTTGAAAGGAAAGAAATACGGAATAAATCTTTTCTCTGTATTAGCTCACTATTCACAAGTTTACATGGGTTCTCTTTATAGGAGAGAATACATATAAAAAATCAGAAAACTAATTACAATAACTAGTTGGCCTAATTAATAATTTCCTAATTTACAGCATTTGTCCAATATTCTATTTACAGCAAATATCCTCCAAATATTATATTTACAGCTAATAATATTTGGTGGTATTACTACCAAATCTTTCCTTTTCAACAATATTTTCTAGTAAATGATGAATAATAATAATTTTAAGCATGAAATAAATGGAAATTTAACATTTATAACACTTGAGAAGAGAAAATAGAAACTAACTAGAAAAGAAAAATATAATACAAGTCAAAACAAATAGCGTGGAAAATTGGTAGAACCCTTCCCATACTCTAGGTTTTAACATTCTCAAGCAAATAATAATAATAATATGCTTTACATGTTTTAACATTCTTAAAAGAAATACAATAAACATTAGTGTTAGAGTATTATTGACAAAAAGTAGCTTGTAATACAATGCTTAGAGTTCTTACTTTTTCAAAGAATATATCACTGTTCGGTCTCTATCATTTTATTTTATATATATATATATATATAATTAAATTAACTGTTTCAAGTTTCAAAAGAGCCTTCTAAAACAATAATAAAATTATTCTTGGCATATTATAACACAAAGCAATGTGGGATAGGTAGGTAGATTGCTTGCACACCTCACTAGATGAGCCAAGGGTCGTCTCTCCTTGGCACCAAATTTTTTCTTGAAAAAAAAATGTCTTCCACAAAGCAGGCCGGTGTGGTAGCGAACCTGTCCGTTAAGACAGCAAGCTGGCTGTTTTTCAAGAGAACATGCCGGTTTGCTTGCGATATTGGGACTCACTGATTCATTAGTGTGTCTCGGTAACAACGTGGCTAGTTTGCATTGCGAACTGGCCAGTTCGAGCTGACCTGTTTGGCAAACCATGCTCAAGATCTTACCTAATTTTGAAGAGGACAGATTCAAACTGTTTAACATATTTAAACTTGTCTTGATTTGCGCAAAATATTTCAAAAGTTTGCATTCATGATGTCTTGCCCCCACCTTCTTCCTTCTATTCATGATTTAATAAATGCTCACTAAGGTCTTCTTTCCAAATATGTTGGAATATAGCTTTTGATCTTGCTTGATTTAAAAAATTAGAGTCTTTTCTTTTCACAATTGTGCTTGTCTAACCATTTTAGCCTAATGTTTGTGATTTGACAAATGATACCCCAATATGTTCCACATCAGGATGTATCTTCTTGAAAATCATTTGCCATCTAATGCAATCAGCTATGAAAGAGAGAATAAAATCTATAAGAGAAAACAGAGAGCTAGATCACGCTAGAGATTAGCTTAAACACCCACAACTCAATCCCAAAAGAAAGGGGGATGTAGAAAGCTGTTGTAGCAGGCGGATAATATCAAAAAGTTGCTGAATACAACTTGGAACAACCTTTTATAAGGCACAAGGGATGCCCTAGCAAAGATTCAATCCTAATCCTACATATATATTATAATATGAGAGCTACTATTCAGTCCAGCAGAATAAAAAACACTAAAATTGACAAAACAGCACTTACATGGTCACGACTCACATACAAAATAGAAGTAGAAGGACAAAAATATCCTAACTGGAGCTTAAGACAATCATTAAACACGAAATAAAGACAAATTTAAGACTTACATAAATGACTTAAGAGCCATAAAAAATCACACAATCTGATCAAATCATCAGCTGCCCCTATTAATGCAATCTCAGTCTAGTCTTCTTAGGACGTTCAACTGTTTGAAGAAAATCCTCTTCCACTTGCTCTGCAATGCCATCTCTCTTCTCTTTCCGGAAAGATTTGTCTTTTATAAAATAAATTAGTCGTCAAAGATGGAAGGTTTATTCTATCAGTCAAAGTTGATGGCATGATTTTGAACTTGTTTGATATGGATTTAACTCGATGCATAATTTGGCAAATCTCTATTTTGATCCCTTGGGATTTTAACCTCCCACCTTTCTTCCAAACCTAGAAAATGGAATACCGGCCAATTTGAGGATCCTTGTCTTGTCTAGCTTTTTATTACCGGAAATTAATCATATTGCCATTGATTTCAATGTACTAATATGATATTGATTGTTATGTTCCTTCTCTTATTTTACTGCATCTAATCAGTCACTAATATAAAATGACATTGGGGAATGGGGGCAAATTGATCAATTTCACACAATTACTAACATAGTACTTAGATTTAGCAATCCTTTTTCCTGGGGCAAAAATTCATGGTACCTATATATCTAAGTTTTACATGACAATCTCTAGTTGATTTTTGTGTCTGACTTTATACAACTGAATAGGATATTATTCGGCTACCAAGACTGTTTCGTTTCCTTCAAAAGCCGTTGGCACAATTTATATCTGTTCTCAGAGCACCCAAGAGCAAAGAAGGCTACGCCTCGATTGGTGGTGGTTCTCCTCTTCGACGGATAACTGATGCACAGGCATGATTGTTTATAGTAATGTGCAGTTTTTTGAGTATCTTATTTCTATTCATGTTTAATTTTAGAGCTTTGCTTTTCAATGCATAAGTTTTATGAAACATACTTTAATTTTATTGTTATGTTTACTCACCACAGTTCGACAAGAGAAAAGAATGAATATGATACTTTAAAAGGAATTACTATTTCTGTGGGCTGCAGCCTTAACCCACATGCATGACGTAGAGGGTTGTAGGTGCAGGCATTGTGACTTTATAATTATGTCCTTTGGCCATTGGGGAATCTAATTGTCACCTAAATGCAGTACGGTATGCTTAATTAGACCTAGAGAAGGGGTTAATAGGTCTTTTGTATACCTTGATAACTTTGACTGACTCAGTCCAAATTTATTAGTCCCCCTTTGCATTTTAATTTATTAGCCCCTATTTGTATTTTGGGCTGTCCCAAATTTTTTTTTTTGATAAATAAAAGTATTTTAGAGAATGTTTAAAAGGGGAACGCATTCCGAAAGCTATACAAGGGCCAAAGTCAAATATCATGTTAGCTGGAATTTTTTGTTTTATCTGCTAGAGAGGATGGGTTTCGGAGAGAGATGGAGGAGATGGATCGACGCGTGTGTTTCCTCTATCAGATTTTTTGTGTTGGTGAATGGGTCTCCATCTGGGTTTTTTGTCAGTTCTCGTGGTTTGAGGCAAGGGGATCCACTCTCCCCCTTCCTGTTCATTATTGTTAAAGAGGCTTTTAGTAGGTTGATGAGAAGGGCTATGGATTTGGGATTTATCAGGGGTTTCAGGATGGGTCTAGATTCATTCAGCAGATGGAGATCTCTCACCTGCTTTTCGCGGATGACACTCTAGTTTTCTGTGAGGCAGATGTGTCCCAACTCAGATATTTGAGATGTGTCCTGGTTTGCTTTCGAGCAGTCTCAGGTTTGAAAGTTAATGTGGGTAAGAGTGTGCTTGTTCCTGTGGGGGAGGTTCAGGAGGTGGCTTCTCTTGTGGCGGTTTTAGGGTGGGGGACGAGCTCCTTCCCTCTTTCTTACTTGGGCTTGCCGTTGGGAGATTCGTCAAGGAGGGTGGGAAGCTGGGACCCGGTGATAGAGCAATTTGAGAGAAGGTTGGCTGGGTGGAAATAGCAATATCTTTCGAAGGGAGGGAAAGTTACTTTGGTGAAGAGGACATTGTCTAGTCTTCCAACTTATTTTCCTTCGCTTTTCTAGATCCCCTCTGTTCAAAATCATACGAGAGAGAGAGAGAGAGAGAACAGACATATATCTTGTATATTCAACTCACTCAACCCTAATAAGCCTATGTAGGCTTATATAAAGTGTACAAGATTTACTTAATAACACAAGGGCCTTACCAACTATATGTAATTACATAATGACCCAACATATATATATATATATATATATATATATATAACATTCTAACACTCTCCCTTAAGTTGGAGAATATATATCAAATAATTCTAGCTTAGAACAGATAGTGCTTAACCGGTTATGACCCAATGCTTTGGTAAACATATAAGTTAATTGATCTTTAGACTTTACGAATGGAGTAGAGATGCTCCCACGTAATATTTTTTCTTGAATGAAGTGACAATCAACTTCAATATGTTTGGTCCTCTCATGAAACAGAGGATTTGATGCAATGTGGACTGTTGCTTGATTATCACGGAACAATGGAGTAGGAGCTTCAACTGTTAACCCAAGTTCTTTTAGAAAATATTGTATCCATGTGAACTCACTAGTGGTATGGGCCATTGCCCTATACTCAGCTTCAGCACTAGATCGAGCTACCACCGTTTGCTTTTTACTTCGCCATGTAACAAGATTTCCTCCTACAAATGTGCAGTAGCCTATAGTAGATCTCCTATCTGAAGGAGAACCAGCCCAGTCGGCATCTGTAAAACCTTCCACCCTGAGATGACCATTTGATTTATATAGTAACCTAAAACCTGGAGCTTGCTTGAGATATCGGATAATCCAAAGAGCAGCAATCCAATGTGGCATTCTAGGGGCTCCCATGAACTGACTTAAAATACTAACTGCATATGAAATATCAGGTTGAGTGATAGTGAGATAAATTAATTTCCCAACAAGGCGACGAAATCTGCCCGGGTCATTAAATAGGTCACCCTCATCAGACACAAGTTTTGTATTTGAATCCATAGGAGCATCAATTGGACAACCACTCAACATACCTGTTTCTTCTAATGAGTTCAACGCATATTTTCGTTGAGATAAACTTATACCCTTCTTGGATCTAGCAACTTCAATACCCAAGAAATACCTATGTTTACCCAAGTCTTTAGCGTGGAATCGATATTGCAGAAACAACTTCAACTTAGCAATGCCTTCAGAATCATCATCTGTGATCACAATATCATCTACATATACCACAAGAAATATGAAGCCAGCTTTAGTGCGTTGGTGAAATACCGAATGGTCGGTCTGACATTTGTTAAGACCAAATGTTAACGCCGCCTTAGAGAATTTTCTAAACCAATCCCGTGGAGATTGTTTCAATCCATACAGGGCCTTTTTAAGGCGACAAACAGTGTGAAGATACTCCTCCTGAGCAACAAACCCAGGTGGTTGCTCCATATAAACCTCTTCTGCTAAGTCACCATGCAAAAAAGCATTTTTAACGTCTAATTGAAACAGAGGCCAATGTCTATTAGCAGCAAGAGAAATCAAAACACGAATAGAAGAAATCTTAGCAATGGGGGTAAACGTCTCATCATAGTCAATACCAAAAGTCTGTGTATAACCTTTGGCAACAAGACGTGCTTTTAAACGCTCAACGGACCCATCTGGAAGATACTTCACAGTATATACCCAGTGACAACCAACAGGTTTGGCACCTGAAGGTAATGGAACAAGATTCCACGTGCCATTCTGATGCAAAGCATCCATTTCATCTTGCATGGCTTTCCGCCAGCCCGAATCAGACAAGCATCCTGCACAGTCTTAGGAACAAATGTAGTAGACAATTGAGAGGAAAAACATGAGAAGGATGGCGATAAGGAATTATTAGAGACATAATGAGCAATAGGATGATTAGTGACACATGAGCGAGTACCTTTACGAAGTGCAATAGGCAAGGAATCAGACACAGTAGATGTTGTTGGATCCAAAGACTCTGAAGACAATGGAGTAGGCACGACAACAGATGGCTTTGGTCTTCGAGTGTACACCTGTAACGGGGCAGGCGAAGGATATCTAGGTTGAAGAGAAAGTGAGGGAAGAGGAATCGCAGGAAGAGGCGACTCAGGAGTGATATCAAGAAGTGAATCATTATCTAAAAAATATGGGATGGACTCACAAAAGGTTACATCCGCGCTAATGAGGTACCATTGAGAAACAGGACTATAGCAGCGATAACCTTTATGAGAACAAGAGTATCCAAGAAATACACACTATGTAGCGCTGGGGTCTAGTTTATCAAAACCAGGACCAAGATTGTGGACATAGCATACACATCCAAAAACTCTAGGAGGAAGAGAAAAAAAGGGAGAATTAGGCAATAAAATAGAATATGGAGATTTGCAAATCTAATACAGATGACGGCATACGGTTAATAAGATGACAGGCAGTAAGAACAGCATCAGCCTAAAACCGTTTAGGCATACGCATATGAAAGAGGTGTCGATTCTTACGTTCTGCAACTCCATTTTGTTGAAGAGTATAAACACATGAATTTTGATGAATAATTCCTTTATCACTAAGATATGTATCAAAGGGGGTTGAAGAATATTCCTTAGCATTATCAGAACGTAGAATACGAATTGGGCATCCAAACTGAGTTTTGATTTCTTTTTGAAATTTTTGAAAAATTAAAAATAACTCAGAATGATCTTTCATTAGAAACTACCAAGTCAGGCGAGAATAATCATCCACAAATGTCACAAAATAATGAAATTTATTTTTTTAAAATGCTTTATTGGACCCCATACATCGGAATGAACCAAATGAAAAGGACTAGAGACATGATTATTAATCCTAGACTTGAAAGACACGCGATGGTGCTTACTAAGTTGACAAACTTCACATGACAAGAATTTCAAATGACTAAGACTAGGAACTTGATGCTGCAAAACTTGAAGTGACGGGTGACCAAGACGACAGTGCCACTGGAATAGAGACAAAGAAGACTGAAGAGCCATAGGATAAGGTGCCAAATCAAAGAAAAATAAGCCACCAGCTTCATATCCCGTACCAATCTTCTTCTTCGTCTTGAGATCCTGAAACACACAAGAATTAGGATAAAATGTAACAGAGCACTGAAGAGATTTAGTAAGCTTACTGATAGACATTAAATTAAGGGGAAACTGAGGAACATATAAGACAGATGAGAGAGACAAGGAATCACTAAGTTAAGTTGTCCCCAAACTTGAAACCTTAGTGGATGAACAATTAGCCAGAGTAACACTTTGAGGAGGAGGTACAGAATTAAAATCAGACAGGAGAGAAGAACATCCAGTCATATGATCGGATGCTCCAGTGTCTTATGATTTAAGGACTATGAGTGGAAGACAATAGACAGGTGTGTGCAGTACTTGACTGGGCAAAGGTAGCCATGGAAGATGAATTAGATGTTTGCTTATAAGACAAAAACTGAGTATACTCATCACGTGGAACAGGGACCGTATTTGATTCAGCTATGTTGTGAGATCCAGAAGCAACATCCTTCGGAGAGGAGGAAACTTGATTTGCATAACTAGATGGTTTGCCATGAAGGTCCCAACAATAATTCACAGTATGATTAGAAAGGCCACAATGAGTACATTTTTGTGATTCCCTGCCACAGCCACGTCCTCCCTGTGAATCACGACCGCCACGTGTGGAGCGTCCCCCACGACCTCCACGGTAAGCAGTATTTTCACCCTTTGAAACTATCAATGCTGAATGCTCACCACTCTGCTGAGTATTCAAAGTTGAGGTATCACTTACAAGTGTAGTGCGCTGAAGTCGAGAAAACACATCAATAAGAGATGGA